CCACACCACCGCACACACAGCACACACACACACACCACACAGCACACACACATACACAGATCATACACCACAGCACACACCCCACACAACACACACACACACACAGAGTACACAACCGGTTACACACACAAGCAACACCAAAGCACACACGCATACACACAGCACACAACCACACACACAAGCCACACCACAGCACACACACAGCACACCCCCCCAGCAACACCCACACACACCACACACACATACTCAAACCACACCAGAGCACACACACCGCAGCACACACCCCACACACAGCACACAACCGGTTACATACACAAGCAACACCAAAGCACACACACATACAGCACACAACCAAACACACAAGCCACACCAGAGAACACATAGCACAGCACACACACACAGCACAAAACCACAAACACAAGCCACACCAGAGCACACACACACACACACAGCACAAAACCACAAACACAAGCCACACCAGAGCACGCACACACACACACACACAGCACAAAACCACAAACACAAGCCACACCAGAGCACACACATGCACACAGTACACACAGCAGAACACACCACACACAAGCCACAACACAGCAAACCACAGCACACCACAGCACACACACAGCACACCCACACAGCACACAACCACACACACAGACACACCACACAGCACACAACCACACACAAGCCACACCAGAGCACATACACCCCCCACGGCACACACAGCACACAACCACATACACAGAGCACACCATACATACAAGCCACACCAGAGCACACAATCACACTATAAATCACAGCACACAACCACACAAATCCAAACCACACACAACACACTGCACACACCACTCACACCACAAAGACACAAACACACAGGCACACATACCTCTGAGGGGTCACTGAGCAGAAGGCTGGCCAGCTCGGGAGGAAGCTGTGCCTCTGGAGGGGACCTGGGCCTCAGGAGAGGCTCAGGCCAGGTGGGCAGGGGGCCAGGTGGGCAGGGGGCCATGCAGCTGTGCGCGCGTTTGAGGGAGAAGCTCAAGGGAGGAGGAGGGGCTGGGGAGCAGCGGGAGTGGCTGTGTGCACAGGGCAGGTGTAGGACCCTGCAGCCAGCACAGAACGGGAGGCACGGGAACCAGATGGGCCTCAGGCAGCGGCTCCCAGCCCCGGCTCCAGACCCTCACCACCTGGAGGCCCACGGAGCCCCGTGTCCAGACCCTCACCACCTGGAGGCCCACGGAGCCCCGGCACCAGACCCCCACCACTTGGAGGCCCACGGAGTCCCATGTCCAGACCCTCACCACCTGGAGGCCCACGGAGCTGCATCACGTGGTGCTGGCTCTCCTTGGCTGCGGCTACCTGGCAAAGCTCAGAAACTCAAAATGCTCACCAACTTGTTAACCATAACAAACCCACTGTGTGTTACTAATAAGTAACACTGTCACAAAGTTATTTTACAAAACAAAAGCAATTCAGGAGGAGGGTGGCACTGTTTGCCCCCTTCACTGGATTCCCCTGTCTGCTCTGCGCGGCCCTGGTGGGAGTGAGCAGAGACCCAGCCTGCCTGAGGTAGCAGCTGGACGAAGGAGGAGTATGTGAGCAGCCTTGGGGCGGTGAGCTAGCTACCTGGCGGCACCGGACACCCATTGGCCAGCCTCCGAGCCTGGCCATACCAAAGCCCACATGCCCACCTCTCACTGTCAATGGATCCTCACCCACCTGGTGATGGTTCGACAACAGAACTTGCCCATGTGGGGAAAGCTGGCTCACGAATAGAGGCAGATCTCGGCAGTCAGCACGTCGTCAGGCAGTGCCAGAACACTGTGCTGCTGACGCCGTCTCACCCAAAAAGCCTCTGAATACCCACGTCTCGGTGAGGCGAAAGGAAGCTATGAAAGTCTTGGTGGTGGATGCAAGTGTCGAAAATTCTGCTATTCACTTGAAAACGTAAACTTCACCAGCAACAAATAGCGTCATGTGTTGACCTTAACATGGCAGGCCGTGCTCAGGAGCATCCACAGCCACGTGCCACTGGTCACCCTTCTGATCGAAAACGGGCAGGGGGGTTGGGGAAGATGCGGCATCCTGTTTGCTGCTCTGGCCCCGGGGAGGCGCCTCCTGGGGAGAAGTGGTGTGCTTTGATCTGTGGCAGGCACACATTGGTGTCCTTCCCATGTTTTCTGATCCAGAATATTAGAGGGTGTGTCTGCAAGGAGCAGGCCTACATGCAGTTCGACATTGTCTCTCTGCTTTGTGAGAAGGCGTCCCCCCCGAGTGTGCACTGTGCTCAAGGAATGCCATGTCCCCATGCAGGCTGGGCACTGCTGCCCTGTGGGCTGGGGGCTGCCAGTCTGCATGGCCCTGTCTTCACACCATCCACCAATGTCAACACAAGAAGGCTGACAGAGTCTCAGGGCTATCAAGAGAATCACTTTGACCCCACAGACTCCCCGGAAGCGTCTTGGACCGCCAGGGCTGCACGGACCACATTCTGAGACCCACTGGTCTAGACAGGGTGGCAGCAGGGGTGTGTGGGCTCCCCGGGCAGGTATCACTCACAGGTGCCATGGCTAGGATAGGACTCCCGGCAGTGGCCCCTGCTGAGGCTCCCATAGAGACACTTCAGGCCCGTGCCAAAGGCCACAGCAGGGGTGGGGTGGCTCTGAAAACAGCCCATCACCATGGCACCCCCACAGGCCAGGACATGGCATGGGGCCACCGACACAGGGATGCTCACACATTCAGACACGTCTCTGGACACAATGCCTCCCACTGGCACAGAGAAGGGACGCGGGTCCACTATGCCTATGAGTCAGCCCTGATGGTGGCCCTCCCCCACCAGCCGGCGCCGGGACCTACTCAACCATGGACAGCGCCATCCTCCGTATGGTCCCTTTGTCGGAGCTGCTGGTGCACAGCGAGGGCGAGGCCGTCAGCAGGCTGTGGGACTGGGCGCTCTTCTCCAGCATGGCCTGCGAGAGCTCGATGGGGAAGCTGCACACACACACGTTGGACTCCAGGTTCGTGTCGGCGCTGCACGGAGTGCACTGGTCTGTGTTTCCCAGCGTGTCCCCGAGCCCACTCTCCATGTGGCCGAGGCTGCCCTTCACCAAGGGTGAGTCCCCCTTCAGAGAGCTGCTCCTCCGGTCCACAGAATTCCCAGACTGCCTGGTGCCCTGGGAGACGCCGCACTCCTGGCTGCCCAAGACGTGTGGCCTCAGCTCATAGCTACCCTGCGAGGGCACGTTCACCTCATAGTTCAGAGACTCCAGGTTTGTGTCCATGAGCAATGATGAAAGGATTGGAGCAACTGGAAGTTTTCGAGGCTCCTTTGCAAAGAACCAAAAAAGTATCATTAGAAGAAATTAGACTGACAACCTCATTCTAGGACCTTCTTCAGCAAGGACCAATGCCCACGGCCTGGAGTTGTCTTCCAAGTGCCCAGGCTGAGAAGACCAGGGCAGCTTTTCTGAAACCCTCAAGGAGAAAAGCTCCCCCACCCACGAAGTCATCGCGCAGAAGCCTGCGCCTGACCAGGCCACACCCCAGGCTGCATGGCCCTGTGCGTGGCTGCTGAGCTCACAAAATGTGGCCCGTCCACAGCCAGGTGCTTAGGAGTGAAGGAGAGGTTAGGAAAAGAAGGCAAATGCCTTGATGATGCGGCTTATACTGATCACACACCAACACAATTGGATTCTGAATACATTAGGCTAAATGAAATATATAATTAAAATTAATTCTACCTGTTTTACTTTTTCATGTGGCTACCCCCCAAATTTTAATTACACATTTTATTTCTGTGACATGGCACTGCCCTTGATCTGTTTGTGTTTTGAGCCATGGTTCCCAAAGTGTGGTCCTGGGACCAGTGGCATTGGTCAAGCCGCCCAGGAGGCCCATGGACAGCTGTTTTTGGATAAACATAGAAATCGACCCTTCTGATAAAGCTTGAAACCCATATTTATTTTATCTGAGTTCCTTCATCAGGAAAGGACCCTCAGGAAGCATCAGAGAACTGAAACCCACCAGATCACCACACCAGATGCCTCCTTGCCTCGCCCTAGTTCCTGTGTTCTTACACATTGTTACATTTGTTCCCTGCTACATAAACTCCTGGTGTTAGTCAATCAGGGAGATGGGCTTGCGAATGAGCTCCCATCTCCTCGGCTGCAGCACCCAATTAAAGCCTTCTTCCTTGGCAATACTTGGCATCTCAGTGATTGGCTTTCACTGCGGCAAGCAGCAGGACCAAGACTGAACCCCTGGTGTTTCCGTAACATGGGTATTGCCAGGACACTGCTAGGCATGCAGATTCTTGGCCCCCACCTTGGGGGCGTTGTCACAGATGCCTGCCCACCCTCCACACACCCCTTTCCTGCACAGCACTGGCAGGGCAAGTCTCAGGGCCCCAGGCTGCTGTGCAGGTGACCGGTAAAGAACACACATCCCTGGGCATCTGTGGTGGAGCTCAGGGTGCCTTAGGAGGTGCCCAGGCTCTGTCTCTCTTGTAACTCACCCTGTATAATAAGCCTGGTCCACACAGGAGGAGGGAGGAGGCTTGGTGGACACTTAGAGGGAGGAGCCAGCAGGGGACAGTGGGTGGCATGGTGGCCACGGGGGGCTGACCTGGGGCTTGGGCACAGTCCGCTCAGCAATGTTGGGCTTGAAGGACCGGGCAGGATAGTAGAGGAGGAAACACATGCTGAGCGGCGTGAGGCCGTCATCTGAGCACTTGTTCACGTCGGCCCCACAGTCCAGGAGAAGGTTGACAATGTGGTTGTGGCAGTGAGTCTGCAGGGAGACGGGGCGGGACTCAGGAGGATGCGCCCGGCCCTCAGAGGTGAGAAGGGTCACTGGGCGCCCTGCTACCCTCAGGAGGCCACACCCTGGCAGGGCAGGAACCGGTGCTCATTTGGGCGCTTGGCAAAGGGATGAGTGTGGGACAGACGAGTGGAATACGCACTGTGCCCCAAGCCCTTCTCCACTGGACCTTGAGTGTCACACTCAGCTGAAGGGGTTTCCGCTGAACGGTGAGGTGGAGGTGTGGACACATCAGTGTCCCCACACACTGTGGCTCTGCTTCTGCAGAGGGGCCACAGAGAGCCACCCACATGCGTGACCTTCATAGCTGAGCTCCTGCGGGCACCAGCCAGGGTGGGTGGGGGACTTACAGCAGCCGCGGCAAGCACGGTGTAGCCCTTTGCATCCGCCACGTCAGCGCTGGCAAAGTTGTCCTTCAGGACCCCATAAATCCAGTCATGGTTCCCTTCCTCAGCCTTTAGGATCATCTCCATGGCAAGCTGCTCTTTGGGCCCACAGAGTGCAAAGCCACTGCGCTTCCCCTCCAGGATGGCACCCATGTTCCAGCTTGTGTGAGCTGGCTTGTTCCTGGCAACACAGCAAGTTTCAGTGGGCCTGGAGCAGGTTCTGCACCACTCAGCACCTCCCGTGAGAAAGGGCCCAGCTGAGCCACCTCCCTCCAGCGCCTCTCCTTCTTATGGCTCAGCCCCAACCCCACTGTTCACTCTTCAGGCACCCTGGGTGCTGGCAGCTGCACCCCCAGCTGCTCATGATCCACTCGGGTGCACACAGTGGTGCCACATGGAGGTCAAGATGCCCAGGCTATATTTCTGTCCCAGCAGGACCGTGCTGGCTGCAAGTGCACCCTGCATCCCTGATTCATCCGGGTCACTGGGTGTTTGCTGGGAAATGGGCTGTCACGGCAAAGGCCCTGAGTAGGAAGGAGACCAGCATACACGTGGGTCCAATCTCAGCACCAACACCCACATTCCAACCTCTGCTCATCCACTTCTGTCTGACAACACGCATCTCTCATGACTTACTCACCACACAGCACTGATGCCTCCTGATGTGTACACAAGCCCTTTTCACAATCGAGAACCTGCACATTACAGTTGCTTCTGTACCTAACAGTCTTCAACATTACGGGCCCACCATGATGGATGGATGGTTTGGTGGGTGGATAGATGTTGTGTGTGTGAACTGAGGGGTGAATGGATGGGTGGGTGGGAGGATGGATGGATGGGTAAGTGGAAGGGTGGATGGATGGGTGAGTGGATGAACAGATGGATGAGTGGGCTGGTGGATGAATGGGTGCTGCATTGGTAGACTGATGGATGAATGGATGGGTGGGTGGGTGAATGATGCAGGAATAGATTGGTAGATGGATAGACGGGTAGTCAGGTGCATGAATGGGTAGGTAGGAGGGTAAATGAGTGGATGGTGGGATGAATGAATGTTGCATGGATGGACTGATGGATGAATCGATGGGTGGGTGCGTGAGTAGATGAATGTTGCATAAGTAGATTAATGGATGGATTGGTGGGTGGGTGATTGGGTAGGTGGGTGGATAGATGAATGGATGGCTAAATGAAGGGGTAGGTATGTGGGTGGATGAATGGATAGATGTGTGGGTGGATGAACAGACGCCTGGATGAATGAGTGTTGCATGGGTGGACTGCTGGATGGATAGGTGGGGGGGTGGGTGGGTGGATGGATGAATAGATGTGTGNGGATGGATGAATAGATGTGTGAGTAGATGAACAGACGCCTGGATGAATGAGTGTTGCATGGGTGGATTGCTGGATGGATAGGTGGGTGGGTGGGTGGATGGATGAGTAGATGTGGGGTAGATGAACAGACGCCTGGATGAATGAGTGTTGCATGGGTGGACTGCTGGGTGGGGGGGGGGGGGGGTGGGTGGGTGGATGGATGAATAGATGTGTG